ATCATGACCACTTAATTTTCCACTCAGAATCCAGAATGCTTCAGAATTTCTTATCCTTTAGGCATATTTCATTTATTTTTATAGTAGGCCCACTTTAATCTTTTATTTCTCTATGTTCTTTCAACGCACATTCTTGGTGTTCTTTCATCGGATTTTTCTAAAGCACTTTGAATTTCCACTTTGTAGCATTGTGCTTTATAAATAAACTTGCCTTGCCACTATTCCCTTTACAAATTTGTTAGACAATGTCATTGTTTGGAAATATTGAAGGTAGACAGATAAACAGTCATAGTGAGAAGTTTGCTCTATGAGGCAGGTTGCAGGTTCACGTCCGCATTGAACAGGTTATCATTTGTGGAAGGTCCTAACTCGCTCCTGGTAAAATGAGTGTACTAACCTCCAAAAATGAAAACCAAGGACTTTCATTTTGCAAAATGAAACGCTGTGTAGCTACATTTTAAGTATATAACGTCTGTGTTTCCCCCTACTTTTATTAACAAATTAGAACTAACCCAGCACAATCCAAACATAATGCAAGACCTCCACTAGGTGGCACTCACACACTACCAATAAAGTAGACGTTTTAAGGATTTGGCTACAGTACACATGCATTCTTGTATATTAATTTCTACAGAAATTCGTTTGTATCAGGCTCGAAAGACTTAATGCGTATACATCCGAACCAACAATTTATTTATGTATCAAGTCACCAACATGCTTCGGCCTACTTCCATCAGGACATTCTTGGTTTGGATGCAGCAGCACAGACGATCAGACCACTGGAGGCAGGTGTGTTCCTACATGATGCACCTTGAAACCTGGTGTGGTAAACTTTCGAAGAGCATATCTGATTATCTTTTCAGTAATCTTCATGACATTGGGACTTCCTGTCCCATGGAAAGACGCAGCCCTACCACAGCTGGGTCTCCATCAACGTTCATAATTTTAAGCTCATATTTGAAAATTTGGCTAAAAGAAATGAGAGTCTGTGCTCATTCCCATCTGCTGTGTTACAAAAATAAAGAAGGGCACTCTCCTAATCAAGGATGGAGTTGTGAACGGCTGCAGGTTCCAAACTTGACACCTAAAATGTCAAGTACTCTACAGGTGCATCTCATAAAATTACAATATAGTGGAAATTTCATTTATTTTTACATTTTTTCAAAAGGTGAAACTTCATTACAGATTCATTACACATGAAATTAAATATTTCAGGCTTGAAATGATAAACTTGATGAAAACGGTAAACAGAAGAACATCTTAGTTAATTAAACAGTTAAAGAAAGTGAAACGCGTGTTTATTCTTTGATATTCATTTTGGTGGTTTTCTGTTCATTAATTTCTACAACAAGGAGGTTTATTTTTACCAGTTTTTAGAGAATGTTTAAAGATATGTTGGCTACTGAAATCACCTTTCTAAAGATGGAGGACTTTTTCATAACAGCCCAGACACTTAGTTACCAGTTGAGGAAAAATACATTTACAAAAAATTTAGTATGATAGGCCTAACCATTCTAAAATGAATCCTTGCTAGTTCATTAAGTCTAGATGCAGCAACTGTTAATTGATTTGAAGAGCTGGTGAGTCAACTGTGTTCATATGTGAGATGTCAGATATATGCATCATGTAGGAACACACTTGCTTTTCTGCCTCCTTGGTCTGATCGCCCGTTCTGCTGTGCTGCCAAGACCTGGGCCCTGTTTCAGAAAGCGGGTTCAACAAACTGAGTTGTAAACCTGAACTCTGGGTTGACGAACTCCGAGTTTTACATTTCAGGCCGATCAGAATAAGTTCAGTCAACTCTGAGTTTGTTGAGCCTGAAGCGCGTGCGTGGGGATGGAAAAAAGACATCAATGGAGCTCCAATACTACAATTCACCATGGCAACGGGTAAATAAAGGCAGAGCCTCTATTTTAATCGGGTGGAGCTAGAAAAATTAATGCGTGCCAACGCGGACCATGATTGGCTATAAAACGCAGGATTGATACGTTAACAATATTACATTTTATACAGCGTTGCTGATTCATCATTTAGCAGACTGGAATTTCCTTAATGAATAATAAAGTGTTCGAATTCTCCTCCAGCCTGTTATTCATTTTAAACAGCTACAGGCCTGTTTATTCAGCTGGAACCTGACAGGACTAAATGCCGGTGACAATAACTGAAGATAAAAATATTAATCGAACAGATTAGACACATTTTAGGCTCTTCATGGACCTGTGATTGTAAAGCCACAGTCCAACTCAGTAGGCCTATACCTATTACTGAGTGTGAAGTTTTAGACGTTTATGTTCCATTAATAAAATCTTGCTCATTTCGTATTTTGTCAGAGAGTTGAACATGATGCATGAAGCGTCATGTTCAAGATCATGTTTGGGTAAAAAAAACCTAATAGCCTATTTAACCGTGATTTCGATGATTCTAAAGACGTAACTGTGTTCCAATATGTGCTTTGATATCGACAGTATGAATGAGGAAATGTCACTTTTGTCACACCGCTTCCAGCTCCGCAGGAGAGGAGTCGGAGAGAAACTCAGCATTAGTTGAAGTAAACCTCCTCCCGATCAGGTTAGGTTCACAGCGTAAGTTGCCGGGGTTACATACCTAGAGTTAATCTGATCTCGCTCTCTGAAAGCGAAATCTCGGGCTCAATTTACTCAGAGTTGACTTTCTGAAACAGGGCCCTGCAGATTCAAAGCTTTTATTTGTTGTGCATTTGCTGAACAGTCAGTTGCACACACCAACCATCCTCCTTTCTCAAGCCTGCAGACGTTGCACCTTATAGTAAAGCACAGTTCTATTAGGTCAATAAAATAGAGGAAAACACAGTAAGGTTTGTTTGCTTACAACTTCAGTTTACTGATTGCCATTGTAACAGAAAACAGAAAAACCTCCCGCAATAAACGAGATGGGAACGGGTCGCGAACCCGCAACCAATAGCAACTCTACTTATAAGGCGGCGTCATTAGCAGTGACAAGTGTCACTATTTACTGATTGGGTGATAACAGTTCAAACTGATTGGCTTTGGAAAAGAAAGGGTGGAGCTCATTATCATTTAACACTATGCGTCATTGGGGACACTGAGCCCCCTAAAAAGCGGCGTTACATGAGCACATAGAGGTTGGAGAGTTTTTGACTGCTTCAATAATGATTTAGCACACATTTGTCTGTACTCCCCAACATCAGCTGCTCTCACTATCTTTGATCACAGGCAGGTGATTTCGTCCAGGAATCGTAAAATCAAAATGCTAAGAAAAACAGATCGGGTACCTACAGTTACCACATTCACTGACTCTTTCAACTTCACCTCCGTGTGTGCGCGAGCATCCATGTTGCTTGGTAACGAACATGCTTTCAGCGGGTCACGGAATTTACCCGGAAACTTCAAATTCTATTTTGTGATTGGCTTACCGGCTCTGATACTTGGTACAGAGAAAGCTATGAACTCGACATATAACGCCATATGCCTGCGCCTCGACCATTAATTGTATAGCGGGACAACTTTGTGGCGTTATCTCTTACTTCTCAGCGTGAGAAATAAAAGCTGTGAGCGTGTGAGCTGCTTGAAATGCGAGTGTCTCAGTGAATGCGTGAGGCTTGAGAACCTTGTTGGGAAGCTAGAAGCTCTCTGTGAGACACCAATGTGTCCCTGAGCAAGACACTTAACCCCATGTGGCTTCAGAGGCGTGCGGCCTCTGATATAAATAGCAATAGTAAGTAGCTTTGGATAAAAGCGTCAGCTAAATGAATAAATGTAAAGACTCATTAAACTGGATAAGAGGACTAGTTATGCTGCGTTCCATTAACCTCGGAAGTTGAAGGTTGGAGCTGAGAATGACGTCACACCCGAGTTGACGGCGTTCCAGTTACAAACCGGAAAACCTCGCTCCGCCAGCCGTTGGTTACAACTAGCCAGGTTGCCATGGTTACACCGGTTGATGCAAAATGCGTTGTGTGGTATTTACTCACACTGAACACTGTAGCAACACGTGTACAGACAGCAGTTGGACGGCACTTTGTGTATAAAAAGTTCTATAAGACACAAGTACACAGAAGTGCTAATAAACAGTATAAACTACAGTTTTCACTAGCTGTTGATACTCAGAGCAGCCATCTTGGATCATGAACTTGGGGTAGTGCCGTCTACCGACTTTCCAAGTTTGCAATCTGACTTAAGGGGGCTTTGAAATTTCAGACTCTGAAATTCCGACTTCCCATGTTAAATGGAACGCACCATTATGTCCTGGACTGCCCTCCAGACTCCACAGAGGAGGAGGGTGAGAGGAGGACGTTAGCCAAGCTGACATCAGTCATGGGTTCTTTACTGCGGCGATGCAGATGATAACAAGGACAAGGAGAAAGAGAATCACATGTGAAGTAATGGTTTTTCTGGAGCTTTTTCGTTCACAACATCTCCGGCTAGTGCAGAATTGCTGCTATAGAGTAACGTCAGAGTAGCATGAATTCCAGATTGAGACTGCTTGTCAAAAACTCAGACCTGTATCGTATTTAGACCACATAGGAAAGTGGCCCAAATCCAAACAGGAAGAGATCAGATTCAACGTGGCTTGGGCTGTTCACACTGACGTCAGTAGGACTGAAAGACAGGGGGCTCAGCCCCCAGGGTGTGCGTAACTTGCGCTCCTAAAAAACTCACATCTTTTGTATTAGAACTACACTTATGTCAACAACCAGTGAAGAAGCCAAGATGTTAACAGGTAAAAAGCCAAAGACATACTCTCTTCTTCCATTTCTCCTCTGTTGAACAGAAGTTACTGTAATGTTGCTTTTCAAAGCTGCATGGAGGAAATTTACTTTGGCCAGTTTCCAGAAATGTGTATGTTAGACTGGAATACCACTCGTGAACCAACAGAGTGGCTGAAAGGAAAACTTTACCCAAACATTTATCACCACTAATGAATAAATGTAAATTTATCTATTAGCTCCAAAGAGTTTCCAGAAATGTCCACTGAAGTCATGTGAAGTACAATTCATTTACCTGAGCTGTGAGATATAAGGCAGACACTGTAGGAAACTCCTCACTTCACTCTCTTCATCTGAGCAGCCTGTCAGCTCCACTAGTTTCTTCTCTGGTTGGAATTTCAGCACTTCCAGGAGGATGGAGGTCTTTCTCTCTGAGAGGTTTATGGACCAGACTGCAGGAGCTGACTGGAAAATTGACTGTAATGATGGAAGGACTCTCAAGCCTGTTTCAGGATCATGAGAGTACAAGTCCAGCAGGAAATCACACCATTTCTCTTTAAGAGGGAATGTTTGATATCTGCACACTGATGATAACAGCTCCAGTATCTTCTCTCCTGTCTGCTGTTCTCTCTCTGCTGCTGCACAGAACAGATTCCCAAAGAACTTGACTTCTCCTGAGCCTCTAAACCGCTGAGAGAATCTGGAACGAGAATTGAACATTTTGTTATGATCTGATCAACAGCAGAAAAAGAGCCATGCATTACTGATATGGAGTTTATCTGCTAAAAGCCTACAAATACCTGCTGATGAGCAGAATACAGTAAAATCAATCAACCTAAAACTCAAGTAACAATGATTTTAACAGGGATATATTTGGATTTTAGAAAACTTTAACTAAATTAAATTTACAAAATGTTGAAGGAAGCAGGAATGTCAGGCTCAACCTGTTCTCACTCTGAAGTCCTCACATATGGACACATGGTCCAGATCCCTTGGTGTGTTATAAAGCAATTGGAAGCCTTTCAGCATCATTGTTGATGAAAGTAGGTGTAGGATAAATAACAGAAAAGTTTAGGTAAGCTTGGGGTGGACAGATGGATTAGACACCTAAACCTTTATTCTTTTAAAATAACTGGAGTAACGTAGTTGTTTTCACCCAGACCATGATCCTTTACTAAACCTAATCTAGTAGTTTTGTTGCCTAATCTTTCTATGACTCTGTGGTGGTATCTGCAGTTTTTATGCAGTAGTTTCTGTTGGGAAGCCAGAAGCACAGAGAGGGACAGAAAAAGACTCAATAAACTGGTTCAGAGGACTAGTTCTGTCCTGTTCTGGCCTCCAGACACCACAGAGGAGCAGGGTGAGAGAAGCATGTTAGTCAGACGACACCTCTCAGCCCCTGCAGCTCCTTCATCCCAGCAGCTGTCACACTCTCCAACACAGCAATGACTAAATGTTTGTGTCTCTCAGCCAACACTTTATAGCAATATTATTTATTTGTAGTGTACCAGCCAGTGTGGGTTTGATTTTTTTATATCGAACAATTTGGAGATTCCAAAGGAGGTTGAGATATCAACCCTCAAGAGACAGCTCAAGTACCCCAAAGGAGGGGGTGAAAGGTTTGCTCCACTCCCAAGTGCTGCTTGGGTAGTTCCAGCCATAAAACCTACACAAACTAATTACGGTTTAATTAAATAATCTTTGTTGAGTTACTTAGCAGGTCTCTCCATTTGAGTAGTTATATTACCATGCAGTTGTTGTTCAAAAGAAGAATCCATAAAGAAAGTTAATTTGCAGTGTTCTAATCTTCCTCAATACTCACTGATGATCCTTTAATTTATGTTATACTAATGCCATGCTTCAACACCTTTTTATATATTTTCTTGTTAAAGAACATGTATTAGAAATATTATCATGTGTTAAATAATTAATTTCCTGAGCAAATGATTGTTTTAAAGAAATAATCAAAGTCATCTCAGTCTCCTCTCATGGCACCAGAGCTACCCCCAGAGGACAAAAGTACTATTACATGTAATGCGTCTCCCGAGGTTTAATGTATCAGTCTGTCTTTTATTTTGTATAATCTGATGCCATGTTGGTGTAACTTGCTTATATTCTCTAAGTTAGAATGTGTAACAGCCAATATTATCCAGGAAATGTTGAGCTTCTTTCATTCTGAAATCCTGAAAATGTGTTTAACTGGTAACCATTCTAATCGTTACAATGATTACTTAATAGTTTCCCTTTTATAAACGCTTAAAACTAAGAACAGTATAACCGTTTATGACATTTAAGGTTTGATTGAAATACACACAAATCTCTCAGGAGACCTTAACTAAAGCCTCCTGGGACACAGAAAACAAAACTCTTCTCTTCGCTCTTGGTCTTCGCCCTGCACGCTTACCGAGCGTGCCCCGTCTTCCAGCAACGCCCTAAGTCCAGCCTGCCGAGCGCCGCAACTTTCAAGTTTTCTTTGTCTCAGAGTAATTTACTTAGCCTATATCCGCGAGGTCTGGAGAACCTTCATGGAAGGTATTCTTTTCTTTTGTTTGTTTGTAGAGTTATCAGACTGTTTCACTCGTGCAACTCTGAATTCAAGAATCACCAAGTTTCTTTTAAGCTTTATTTGGTCAAGTTAACTTTTACTGCTTCCCCAAAGTTCGGGCCCAGCCACGTGGGTTAGTTATGCCAGCAGCTCAAAGGACATCAAAACCCACGAACCGAGCCAAGGTTAACAGCCATCACTGCAAGTTTCTTCAACCAAGTTACCAGCCAAACTGGCGGACCTCCGGAGCAATTCCCTGGCAGAGAAAGCGACCGGCAGACGGCGTGTTAAGCCGTCTCAACCGAGAAGGCGCGAAACTCAGACAGCGTGGGGTCGCCCGAACACCATCCGGCTGAGAAACCAACAAGCATTAAGGATATAACACGCTGCATTCTGTGGTTGAGTTGATGTCCAATAGTCTTTTAATCTATTAGCTTTAATCCTTAATCATTTCAGCCTAAACTCCGAGCCAAATTTAACTCAGTTATTATCATATAACTTGCGTTTATTGGTTCTCTTTCTCTCTTAAAATCCTTCTCCACAATAACTAAATTCACATTGAACTTCACCATTCCCATTGGCTGCACTTTGTTCTGTTTAGCCAGTGTTTATTTCTTTGATGTATATTTAACCTAATTTATTCATGTAGTTAGTTCTAATAAATTTCAACCAAATCACAGTAACTGTGTGTGTGTATTGTTTAACTCCAGGTGACTGTAACGGAGGATTTACGCCTTCGACATGAGATTGACTGACTGATTTTATAGAAATGATTAAGCAATTACTACCAACTGATCACTAGGAATAATTGTGTAATTATTAAACCCATAACGTTACCCAGGGAGTCCGGAGACCCTGGGCGAACTGAATTTCCGGTGGTGCCTTGAGGATTTATGAATCAATATTACTGAATAATTAATATTCATAATTTTTATGAAATAGTAAAGTAGGTATGCTACATATATACACACTGCTATATTACCTGTACAGTATACAGTGGGTACGGAAAGTATTCAGACCCCTTTAAATTTTTCACTCTTTGTTTCATTGCAGCCATTTTCCAAAAATCAAAAAAGTTCATTTTATTTCTCAGTAATGTACACTCAGCACCCCATCTTGACAGAAAAAAACAGAAATGTAGAAATTTTTGCAAATTTATTAAAAAAGAACAACTGAAATATCACATGGTCCTAAGTATTCAGACCCTTTGCCGTGACACTCATATTTAACTCAGGTGCTGTCTATTTCTTCTGATCATCCTTGAGATGGTTCTACACCTTCATTTGAGTCCAGCTGTGTTTGATTATACTGATTGGACTTGATTAGGAAAGCCACACACCTGTCTATATAAGACCTTACAGCTCACAGTGCATGTCAGAGCAAATGAGAATCATGAGGTCAAAGGAACTGCCTGAAGAGCTCAGAGACAGAATTGTGGCAAGGCACAGATCTGGCCAAGGTTACAAAACAATTTCTGCTGCACTTAAGGTTCCTAAGAGCACAGTGGCCTCCATAATCCTCAAATGGAAGACGTTTGGGACGACCAGAACCCTTCCTAGAGCTGGCCGTCCGGCCAAACTGAGCTATCGGGGGAGAAGAGCCTTGGTGAGAGAGGTAAAGAAGAACCCAAAGGTCACTGTGGCTGAGCTCCAGAGATGCAGTCGGGAGATGGGAGAAAGTTGTAGTAAGTCAACCATCAATCCACCAGTCGGGGCTTTATGGCAGAGTGGCCCGACGGAAGCCTCTCCTCAGTGCAAGACACATGAAAGCCCGCATGGAGTTTGCTAAAAAACACCTGAAGGACTCCAAGATGGTGATAAATAAGATCCTCTGGTCTGATGAGACCAAGATAGAACTTTTTGGCCTTAATTCTAAGCGGTATGTGTGGAGAAAACCAGGCACTGCTCATCACCTGTCCAATACAGTCTCAACAGTGAAGCATGGTGGTGGCAGCATCATGCTGTGGGGGTGTTTTTCAGCTGCAGGGACAGGACGACCGGTTGCAATCGAGGGAAAGATGAATGCGGCCAAGTACAGGGATATCCTGGACGAAAACCTTTTCCAGAGTGCTCTGGACCTCAGACTGGGCCGAAGGTTTACCTTCCAACGAGACAATGACCCTAAGCACACCGCTAAAATAACGAAGGAGTGGCTTCACAACAACTCCGTGGCTGTTCTTGAATGGCCCAGCCAGAGCCCTGACTTAAACCCAATTGAGCATCTCTGGAGAGACCTGAAAATGGCTGTCCACCAACGTTTACCATCCAACCTGACAGAACTGGAGAGGATCTGCAAGGAGGAATGGCAGAGGATACCCAAATCCAGATGTGAAAAACTTGTTGCATCTTTCCCACAACGACTCATGGCTGTATTAGATCAAAATTTCTACATTTCTGTTTTTTTCTGTCAAGATGGGGTGCTGAGTGTACATTACTGAGAAATAAAATGAACTTTTTTGATTTTTGGAAAATGGCTGCAATGAAACGAAGAGTGAAAAATTTAAAGGGGTCTGAATACTTTCCGTACCCACTGTATCCATAGCCATATTTTTATAGCCTAACACTAAGCTACACTGCTGTATATATTTTGTCCAGTGCAACTATATGTATTTCTACACAGTGCAACTACCTCCTGCTGTGACCTGTCCAATGTTCAATATCAATCACATCTGGATATGTAAGGTGTATATAGTGTAAACATAACTCTTACACTTATTTGTATCATTCTGTTATATCCTGTGTTTTTCTTTTCTTTTATTGAATGTGTATTTTCTTATCTGTTTTATCAGGAGCTGCTGTAACAGGTGAATTTCCCCAGTGTGAGATCTTATGGAGCTGGTCTCTTTCTGCCCACAAATTTTGTTTTTCCAAAGTCACTAAAATATCTGGTGAGAACAGAAGCAAAACAAAAAAACTATTTAACCTCGGAAGTTGAAGGTTGGAGCTGAGAATGACGTCACACCCGAGTTGACGGCGTTCCAGTTACAAATCGGAAAACCTCGCTCCGCCAGCCGTTGGTTACAACTAGCCTGGTTGCCATGGTTACACCGGTTGATACAAAATGCGTTGTGTGGTATTTACTCACACTAAACACTGACAGCAGTTGGACGGCACTTTGTGTACAAAAAGTTCTATAGGACACAAGTACACAGAAGTGCTAATAAACTGAACTTGGGGTAGTGCCGTCTACCGACTTTCAAGTTTGCAATCTGACTTAAGGGGGCGTTACCTTTGAAATTTCAGACTCTGAAATTCCGACTTCCCATGTTAAATGGAACGCACCATTATGTCCTGGACTGCCCTCCAGACTCCACAGAGGAGGAGGGTGAGAGGAGGACGTTAGCCAAGCTGACATCAGTCATGGGTTCTTTACTGCGGCGATGCAGATGATAACAAGGACAAGGAGAAAGAGAACCACATGTGATGTAATGGTTTTTCTGGAGCTTTTTCGTTCACAACAGCTCCGGCTAGTGCAGAATTGCTGCTATAGAGTAACGTCAGAGTAGCATGAATTCCAGATTGAGACTGCTTGTCAAAAACTCAGACCTGTATCGTATTTAGACCACATAGGAAAGTGGCCCAAATCCAAACTGGAAGAGATCAGATTCAACGTGGCTTGGGCTGTTCACACTGACGTCAGTAGGACTGAAAGACAGGGGGCTCAGCCCCCAGGGTGTGCGTAACTTGCGCTCCTAAAAAACTCACATCTTTTGTATTAGAACTACACTTATGTCAACAACCAGTGAAAAAGCCAAGATGTTAACAGGTAAAAAGCCAAAGACATACTCTCTTCTTCCATTTCTCCTCTGTTGAACAAAAGTTACTGTAATGTTGCTTTTCAAAGCTGCATGGAGGAAATTTACTTTGGCCAGTTTCCAGAAATGTGTATGTTAGACTGGAATACCACTCGTGAACCAACAGAGTGGCTGAAAGGAAAACTTTACCCAAACATTTATCACCACCAATGAATAAATGTAAATTTATTAATCTATTAGCTCCAAAAAGTTTCCAGAAATGTCCACTGAAGTCATGTGAAGTACAACTTATTTACCTGAGCTGTGAGATATAAGGCAGACACTGTAGGAAACTCCTCACTTCACTCTCTTCATCTGAGCAGCCTGTCAGCTCCACTGGTTTCTTCTCTGGTTGGAGTTTCAGCACTTCCAGGAGGATGGAGGTCTTTCTCTCTGAGAGGTTTATGAACCAGACTGCAGGAGATGACTGGAAAAGTGCTCTCAGTTTTGGAATGACACTTGAACACTCTTTACTCTTGACGTGTTGATAAAAATCAAGAAGGATGTTATGTAAGTCAGTGTTCACAGAAAACAATGAGAGAAGTTCGTTCACTACTCTCTGAAAGCTCTCTCCTTTGTAAAGTGCTGCTCTCAGGCATAAATCCAGTAACAGCTCCTGTTTTTCCCTCTCCAGTGTCCCCTGGCTTTGCTGCTGGTCTTGTAATCCTGAACCTCTGTAGGTCCTCCTGAAGCTGCATGACAAACAGTGCATGTACTGTTAAACTGTATTTAATTGAAATCTAAGCATACACAGTTCTAAACAAATACAACGTTCACACTGTGCTGATGCTAATTATGAAGAGTAAATGCAATATTTATTTCACAAAAGAAAAAGGGGAAGCCCATCTGGGAGGCATCACAAGAGATCAAAGTTGATATTCATCATACACAATGAGGCCAATTTAACTATTAACTTCATTAGAAGTTTACCAATTGCTACAGCTGATCTCTGCTGAGCCACATGAACTCATTGATACTTCTTCTATTTGTGTCATGTTTTGGGGTTTTTGTTTTTGTATTTCCTGTTAATTACTTTCTGTTTCTCATTCTCTGTAATTGTTTTCATCTGGTTTCATTCGTTCTTTACTTTTTGTCTTACTGTGGCATCTTCCTTTCCTCTCATTTTCTGGTTACTTCCCTTCCTGCTCTTGTGTTTTCCCAATAGCTTGATTGTCTTACTTTTTCTGGATTGTTTCCACCAGTGCCTTTCGTCTGTGGACTTTTGGAGTTACTGTTTGTGCACTGGACTGCCTTCTTGGATGATTTGGACACTGCTTCTACATTCCCGTTAGCTTGATTAAACCTCCTGTTTCTTCTGTCTACTTGAGCTGAAAATGTACTTTGACTATTTCGGTTCAAACAGATACGTAAGCAGTCTGCCAGTTTCTCTTTATAATATTTAGTATTAGAGTCCAGGTGCTGGACAGGTTTTTTATGATGTATCACATGCAAAACTGGAGGTCTGATCTGACCATGAAATAAGGCTTGAAAAAAAGGATTTTCATTTCAACATTAACGGTTTTACAAAAAGATAAAAGTTAATGTGGAATAAGCATCACACAAAAACAAAAGCTACATACCTGAGTGAGCGGATATATATGGCAAAGCCTCTAAGAGAGACTCGCACAGACTTTGGCAGGCAGGAGTTTTCCTGTCCCAGTGGATGCAGACATTAAGCTGCGTAGTGATCTTCTGCATGACTTTTACTGCTCTTTCAAACAGCCGTCTTTTACCCTCAACTGGAAGGTGCAACTGATTTCCATCCAGGCTGAGTAAGCTGATGTGGTTCATCTGCCATCTGTCCACATTTGAGAAGGAAAATCTCCCACAGCTGCCGTGGCAGAGGACCACACCTGTAATTTAAGAATAATCAGAGACAATTTCCTCATTTAAAAAGTAATAGAGTAGAGTAACAGTAATGTTTCATAAAATAAAGTCTGTTTATGTTAAAGAAGCTACAGCAGAAGTTCCAAACTTCATTTTCCATCCATCTTTTACACGCACTTATCCTGTTCAACTATTTAGTCATCCTCGTTACCTCTTTGATTAATTAGGCACAAAGCCAAACTACAACTTAATTAGATATGTGGTAACCTAAACAGTAACTTGACACTTTCTACACACGCTCACACATACCACTGGACATTTTGAAGGCATCCTAACAGTCGTCTCATTCCTTGCTCTGACACCATGACGTCCTCCAGGTTCAGCCATATTTTCCTCTCCTTCGACTGAGTGACCACGTAGGCCACAGCAGAGCAAAGGTAAGGCTCGAGACTCTCTCCACTGAGATCAAGAGCGTAGTCCAGTTTCTCCAGGAAGCTGATGCTCGCTTCAGGACACTGGGACTCATACAAGCACTGACATAAGAACAGTATGTCCACATCAAGTCCACTGTCCTCTGTGTCAGCCTCTAAAAATGTGGTTATCAGTTCCTCGAAGAACCAGTCAGACGTGTTCTTGAGCTCCTGAGCTGGAATCAGATGCTTCATCAAACTAGGTCTCTTGTCAGTCAGCAGTCGACACATGAAAGGGATCAGATGTTTCATGTGTTTCTTCTCCTCAATGAGGCTCTGCTGAAAAACATCCCCGATCTTATCTGGATTCTTCAGCAGCCACAGTGCTGCAAAAAACTCCTGCATTGTGTAATGGAGAAATGCATGAGTGGTGATTGTCTCAGTGGGGGCCACTTTGATAACAAGAGGTTTCAGGAAGGAGAGGACGCAGCTGTCTTCACAGGGCAGTTCTCTCAAGATCACAGTTTTTCCTTCAGTGGCTTTAAAAGCAAACTCGGCCAGAGACAGAATTTCTTCACTCTTGTTGTTGATGAAGGAATTTAGATCTTTGGTTTTTGTTTTCTTGCTGATTGTTTGAAGGCAATGACGAACAATATTGATGTAGATTTCAGTTACAGTGCATGGCTGTGGAGAGTCTTCTGGTGTCTCTGATGAAAAGCAGACAGCCACCATCTGTGCATACATTGGGACATGGCAAAGAGTTAACAACTCCAGGTTGCTCAAAACCTTCTCCTGTTCTTCTCCTAGAGTTGCAGGGAAGTATGTTTTTATGGTCTGCTCACTAAAGCCTTTCACTTCCACTCTGAGGAAGTCCCCAGAAAGGAGGTCTTCTGCATCATCTGGTCTGCATGTAATGATGATCTTGGCATCAGGTAGTAGGTCCTTCTCTACAACCCTCTTCACCACTGATGAAGAGAGATCTGTGATTCCATCAAAAATGAGTGTAACGTTGTCAGAGTTCTTCTTATGTCCTGTAAGACCTCTTCTTTGCCTTCATCTGGCTCACTGATCACACTGAAAAGAAGATCCTCCAGGCTCTTGGCCATCATGATGTGGGATGTTTCTCTCATGTCAAAGTAGAACATGTAGTCGAGCTCCTTGTTGTCTCTTTCTGCCCAAAGTTTCAACATTTCGTGAGTGAGTGCTGTCTTTCCAATTCCAGGCTTACCAACCAAGAGGATGTTTTTATCTGTCTTCAGCAGCTCACTGGGGGAAATGTCTGGTCTGTCCTCAGGGATGTATGTCCTCAGCTTTTTAGGGCGACTCATCTTGCTCTTCTTGCTCTTCAGCTTCTTTATTTTAGATGGAGAAACACTTTCTTGTGTGTCTAACACGAGTGAAGCGTACGACAGATCAGGCTTGTTGTTTCTTTCAAACAGATTTTTGTTTGCCTTCCAAAACTCATTTGATATTTTTTGTGCTTTTGACTTTAACTTCGCCTGATATCTGAGGCACGGCCCTGAGCCTAAAATAAAAACAACAATTAGTAAATAAATATACTGTAAATTAACTGCTGTTCCCTCACACTAAATGACAGATACATATTTATACAGACACATTAAAGTGCATTATATAACATCAGCTAGATAAATAATAAAAATGTGACACGCTATCAATCAGAATTCAAAATACCTTGTAAGCAGTTTATATCCATCTGTGTGTCGTCCTTGAAAGAAAAGCAGCTGATCCAGTTATGCAGGTCAAACTTCTTGGTCTCAGTAGAAGCTGAACTCTTTGTCTCAGGGAAAAGGAACGTCCTCCCTAAGGTCCTCTTCCTCGTCACGTCAATAATCCTGAGGAACTCGTAGCACGCCGCTTCCCCCTTCTTAGTGACTGAGTCCAGTATTCTCCTGGTTTGATCACAGTCATCTCTCTCTGTCTGTATTTTGCTGACCTCTATAGCACTAAAAACTCCTTGCTGCTTCAAGTTCTCCACAATCACTGAGAGATTATTTAAATCTCTCTCAAGGTGGACTCTGGCACCCCTGACGTAGTCTAAGGCCGACTGTGTTGTACAAGCCATGTGTCCTTCTGTATGTTCTGCACACAGAACCCAGTTCAATGATCTGGAGAACAAAACATCAGGTTAAATAAAACATTTAACACAATTCATGAGGTCTAAACATCATTCAGCTGATCTGTTTAACATCACTTCCAAGGTGGATGTCTGTGTCTTTCTGATGAATGTGCTACACAAAATGAGAGTGTGGCCAAACTACGGCCCACGTGCCAACTGCAGTTTCTTAAACCACTCAGAACTGTCAGTGAGGGACTAATTGTTCAATAAAATTCTGTTCTAAATAACAGTTTAATTTATCAAATGCTAATTGACAAAGGCAGTTTGTCTTCAAACCAGAAGAGCAGCAGCTTTGTTTGGACTTACATTTCACCTGAAAGACAATCATAACAGGCTACAAAAGGAGGGACCATTCACCTTCTTTGTTGCAGAGAAAGGCTGAAGCAAGCTAGAGTTGCTGGCAAAAGAGATTGACGATGTTGCTGTTGTACTGGAGGAGCACGATCTAAAATATGT